TACAGCATGGTCAAGGCATTTTCTCGTCCGGTTATCGTGTCAGCTTTTTACGGCTTATCGTGCTTCACATATCTGCACATGCATCTGCTGTTCAAACAGCGGCTTCTTAACCTTCACCAACATGCAACTGTACAAGTGTCGGGATTCCCCGACCATTTGTTCATGTGCTTTTAGCTGCAGATATTTATCTCAACGCTTCGTATTACCGCATAGGTTGGATTATGATTTCCGTGAGCATCTAACATGCTTGAATAACTTCAAACACGGCCAAGGTGCATGTCGTAGGCCAACCCGACCACGATAAAGAAGCGCATCTGTGCAGAAAATGTGCTGGTGTAGAGGTCTTGCAGACTCTCGCCCTGCTCAGAACAGCTCCGGGCTCCATCTTCACAAGCCCAGCTGAAGACGCCCGCGTCCATGAGCTGCCTTCCAACAGCTCGGGAAGAGTTCAAGACTTCGTCACTTCTTAAGGGACAATAGGAGGGACCCCTAGAAGGGACCCCTAATCCTAATACCTTATTCTTATATACCACTAATAGAGTCTCATAAAGCCCCTATATAACCCCAAGGGTCCGTTTAAGGGTCGCTCCTTTAGTCCCTTGAAAGCCCTAAACCCCAAACCCAAACCCCTAAACCCTAAACCCTTAAACCCTAACCCCTAGACACAAAACCCGGATTCTCCACCGTCATCTTTCAAGGGACTAGAGGAGGGACCCTTAAAGGGACCCTTGAAGTTATGTAGTGGCTTCATGAAACTATATAAGGGGTATATAAGGGTTATATAGGGTATTAGGATTCGGGTCCCTTCCAGGGGTCCCTCCTATTGTCCCTTAGAACTTCGTTAAGCGCCGGTCGGTCCCCGCCTTACGTAGAGTGGAAAAGCCTGGAGGGGACCCGATGACAAGATGGCGAAAAAAGTCACCACCGGCACGAGGAAGTGAGTCTTCCAAGTATATGCTCCCGAGATGTCTCCCATCATTGCAGAAGCCCCATGCGCTGTCCTCCGCTGGGACATTTCCACGTGTTAAGTTACTGCCACTGTTTCTTGCAGGTACTTGCAACACATTGTCCTTTGCGCTTCTGCCAGGCGCAATTTGTTCTTTGCGATCAGTGGCTCCATGATCTCAGGGCAAGTCTACGTGACTGCATGACAATGTGCAACGCTATGCAACTGCATATCACTGCATCGTGGACTAGCCTACAGAAGACGACATGATATTGCGAAATGTTTTGGTAGCTCAGCTGGCATGACGGCAGCTCCACTCGAGGAGATCACGGTCAAAACATTGAGAGCTAGCACTTCCGAAGGACAGGGTTCTAGCTGAGACAAGAACATAATAAAGCGCGAGACTTTGCTAACTGCCCCAAACGAGGCAAACGCTGAACGGGATACACCGACACCCAACGGCCAAACCACTCAACTGCAAGCTTCTGAAACCCCAGTTCTAAAGCTTCAACATGGATCCGAGAAAGTCAGCCCATGGCCATAGATGATCCTGCGATCCCGCCACGACGAACGATGCGCCCCTCTTGCTCCGTGGCCTCGCAGGCTTCGCGGAAGTCAACCCCAACAGGGCTCAGTTCCGCGTCGACGCCCGGCTCCACGGGCGGTGGGTTGCTGAGCGCCTCCTGCGCCACTGCTACATAACTTGGGACTTCCGAGGATTGCATTTCCTCTAGAGAAGTGTGCCCGTCAGGGCCATGTAAGCATTGAGAGGACAGTCTCATTGCCACAGAGACCATCCCCTAGGGTCCTTGATATGCTGGCATACTGCTTTGGCCAGCTCCCGCGCTCTGGGCACAATATTCCTTGGTTCGCACACGTTGCTCGAATTGTGGCTTGCACGGTCTCTTGCCCCATCCGCCTTCGGATTCGGGGCTGCCCTTTTGTGTATCGGCTGAGGCTCTTCGTCACCTGTACGCTCATAGCCATGGTGCCAGAAGCTCCGCTGGTGCAGACGGAGAGGTTAATGCCAGTCATGAAGCCTGCGAGTGCAGCCTGGGCCCGAGCCATGTCCCACTCCAAATGCCACAGTGGTCTCGTCTAAGACAGAAGCTTTAAAAGACAACATTTGAAAACACCCTACAGTCGAAGTCCTTCTTTGCAGTTAGAGGCAGGCCTGGATGTTCTCAAGAACTTCGAAGCTGTCGTACTTGCCAAAATTTGTCAGCACGCCCAGCGACGATACCTCACCCATGCTCGAGGCAGTGAGTGGTTCAGTTTATGCGGCGCCACCACTGCAAATCGCAGGGAGTGACTTTTTAAATGCAGCGAAGAGTTGCCGAAATATGATCTCCTTGCTCTCCAAAGCCAGCTGCGAGCTCTGCGGAGGCACTTTGCAGCATCTGGAGCATCTCCATGGAAAGGAACCTAGACGGCCATGGGCGAAGCGATAGCTAAATCGGCTCTTCAAAAAATCGAGGACACAGAACATGAGGCCAGGATGCTCGTTCTGGATGATGAAACCGGGAAAGGTGACTTTCTCCTGCCACGCCCGTCATTGCCCGTCCAAGCAGGTTTTTATGCCGTGGCGGGTGCTGACAGTGCAGACCCTCCTGGATCACACGGTCCATGAATCGACGAGCTTCCCTCGCAGTGTGCCAGAAGTCGGGCTGAACCTCCGAGAACCAGTGCAAGGCGCTCGCGAAGTTGCCCATCTCCTGCGAGTAGCGCTTGTCCTCGATCAGGCCAAAGAGCCTACTCTGCAAATGTTCTACAGGCGGCCCTCGGCCGCAGTAATCTTAGCAAGGATCACAGATGCCAATGCACTCTTCTTACAGTCGATTGCCCTCTCACAGGACGAGCAACCACAAAAGACCGCTCATTCATGAGGAGCCCGACTTTGATGCGGTCGGCTTCTAAACATCTTGCCTGAAGTTCCTGTTGCAAGACAGATTCGGCGAAGGGCTCAGCTAATGCTCTGCTGCGGCAAACTGTGGAGTGCGCGCCTTCAGTACTGCCAGGTGGGCTGCAGCTACGATCGCACCAGTCACAGTTGTTCCTGCCATCCATGTCGTGTCTGAGGATACACACGAACGTGCATGCACATGGCTGATCTGACTTCAGCATCCCATGTCTCCAGCCGTTGCATCCCCTCGAAAAAATCACCAACAGGTTTAATGAATCTGAGGCTGAGGGGTTCCTGCGGCCCGGCTAGCTTTGGCCAGAGCTTTCGTCTCCGATGCATCCAGTCGCATGAGCTCCAGGCAGAAGCCCTGGCCAAGCTCAGGGCTGCAACGAGAGCAAGTTATTGGAGCAAGACAGAGCAAAGCAGACGTAGATTCGACGTAGATGCACAGCTGCACACCAATACTGGGATCCACCCATGTATAGCGCGATATCAGGTCTGCGTGTCTTTCAACAACCACTTCTCGCCAATCCGACCTATCGACCACATTGACCAGCAAAAAGGAGACAAAAGAACATGCCTCGAAAACCGCCCGAAACTCCGGATGTCGTGGTTGAACAAAGGTGTCCTTAGTTTCGGACGGGCGTTTTGCGGTCTCTGCTGCGAGGCGGAGTACTTCCACCAAGGCTCATGCTGTGCGTTGCGAATCTTTGGTGGATACTCAGCCTCGATCGACCGCCACTTCTGCACCTGCTCCTTGCTGAGGCTGCCATCGAAGTTGATGATTTCGGTGTAGTTCATGTGGCCTCGGAGTCGCATTTCATCGCCATCGTTTCACATCCGGTCCACCGGTCAGACGCACATTGCAAAAGGCTGGGCATTGATGGTCAGTGTGAGCAGCAAATCAACAGGTGCTCTCCCATCCAACAAAAATGACATTTCCAGGGCAAAGCGGCTGCTGCCGGTTCCTTCCGGAAGGGGTCGTCCTTCGTAGAGCAACAGCAGCTGCCTTGGGTCTGCGAGACGTGGTGACTTGGAGACGAGGCGGCCGGCGCCAGGGCGGCCAGGGTGCGCCAAAGCGATCTCCACGGCCCGGCCATCTCCAGGTCCGTGCCTGCCATGTGCAAGGCTGCAAGACCCAAACAGGCTCTCTTCGGTGGGCTCAGCACTCAGCACCTCATGCCCACAAGCAGAAGGGCCCGCTGCACTGCATCCCCATACCTGCCGGGGTGGAACTGGCACGGATGCAGGCTTTACAGGTGTCAGAATGACTGCCATGGCAAGCCAGTCTACCAAATGTAGGTGACGAAGACTGAAGGGTGTTCGTCCATGTGGGTCCTCAGTGCAAATTCGAATCGACTACGCTCCTCTGAGGCTGGGAAGAAGAAGTTCGACCAGCGTTGCTCCAAGTGTCAGAAGAGCTGCCTCCAGATCCAGGTTCATGGTCGCTAGGTCTGCTCCCGTCTTCTCATGGATGGGGAGGGGTGTGTTGTCTTCCACCTGCAGAGAGCACGCTCCCCTTCCTCGCTTCTGCTGTCATCCGCAGCATGAAGAGCCACTTAAGCTGAAGTTCATCCCACAACCGACGAGCAGAATCTCAGTGAGCGCCCCTTACAATGACTTCAGAAAGGGAGGCACTCTTTTGTCTCCAAGGGACCACATAGTGTTGGCCGGAGGCATCGCGTATGAGCCGGGCCCTGAGCCGCGGATGCTGGGCTTGCAAGCGATCCAGTGCCACCCGCAAGCGCTTCATGTCCAGTCGAGGGCCTGGGGTGCACAGGCGAGCGTTTCACTAGCACGACCGAACCACCGGTCTGAGTGTTCGGGGATTGGGCTTCCCTGTCAAGTTCCAGACCTTTGAGTTGGACGGCATGAAGATGATTGAAGTTCACACCACAGTCCGTGCTTTGCCAAAAGCCGGGCATGACGTCCAACCAATCGCCGGTGCTGAGTACCTTTGAGCCGCTGGGTGGCCCACACCATGGCATGGCCTGATGCCTGGCTGCGCTTCAAGCTGGCGTCCGTGTGGCTTGAGCCAGAAGCTTTCCATTGCAGGAATTGCGCTTTTCCATTACAGCCCCACTTCCCGCACTACATCGCACTACCCTCATCTACACTCGTTGATGGACCCCTCTGGCCAGGGCCCTGTGCTGGAAGCGCTGCTGCTCGCGCTGCCTGCGCCTGCGTCGATGGGCCAAGCTCCGCAAGGTCGCTCGCCAGTCGACAGTTGCAGGCCTGCTCGAGGGCTGTTTCCCTTTCCTTCGTTTTGTCCTGCAAACAGTGCATGTCTGGTCTCTGAGCACCAGTGAGCAAGGCAAGCAACCGACACCCGTCCTGGTCGTTTCCCTTTTTGTCGTCGGGCTTCACGTCCTCGTCTTTCTTTTCGTCACCTTGGACAAAACAGATGCAGTACATCGTTGCACTCTTCTTGCTGTTCGGGGTGGAGACTGGGTCGGGCTCTACCTACTGTCATGGTCAGCATGTGTGCTGCATACCGGGCGTCGCAAGCGAGAGCCCATGAGGCGCGGAGCTGCAAAACAGGTGCCTTCTGATGCAGACGGGTTGAAATTTGGGCTGCGACTCATTAATGCTCTTGCAGCCTTCTGCCATAGTGAGGCAGGAATTTGAGGGGTCGACCTCAGCCAAGGGCTTGCATTCAGGACTTCACTTCTTGACTGTAAGCTGGTGGGCCAGGTAAGGAGCTAGAGAAGCTACATCCAAGTAATGACTTCGCCGTACTGTGGTCTGCCTACCTCACGCCACTGCACACATGAGTCAGGACAGCTCACCCTGAAGCAAACCTCCCTGCATTCTACATTAAGCAAAACATCTTGAGTGCGCAACCTCAGTAAGAAAACCTGCTGCAAGAAAGAGATACTGACTCTGCCGCCAAGTCTACGTATATGCATGACCATTCATCTCTTGCACATCGACATCCAAGCCATTGGACAAGCTCCACACTGAACACGAAGCTGTCAAAACAGAGACACTTCTTGCATAGATGGGTGTGCGACATTCTTGCAGCAAGTCAGGGACAAAGCCCCTTGAAGCAGAAGCCTGCAGCATCCGTGGGTCGACACACATGATGCTGGTCACCAGTCGCTCTAGTGGTGTTGGCTCGCTTGGAGTTGTTGACTAATGCCTCACCGGCAGAGGAGCAGTACATAGCTATGTTCAAGCATGCTCAGGATTCAAGACCAGTGCGGGGGTTCAAGCCGGGTCTTAGAGCTCCTATGCCACTCTTGAGCTTTAGAAATGTCTGCGTGCCAAAGTGTCTTTCCTTCGGCAAGTCAGGGCGAGAATCCGCCTCAGTAAACTGCGGTAGGTAGGAATTGTAGGAGTAAGAAGTCAGCCTCTGCAGATAACTTCGGCGGGCCCAACTAGTCAAAAGATCAAACTCGACACAAGTGGCTAAAAGATACTAAAAGCTGCTCGTCTTGCACCTTAGAAACTGCATGAATGGAAAGAACACCTTAACAACTGCTTCTGCACAATTGACCTTTATCCAACCAGTGGAGCCTTTGACCTAGGCAGCTCAGGTATCCAGTGTGCAGATTGTGTAGTGGGCGACGTCTTAGCAAGATGCAGCGAACAGCCGCATGTCTCACACTGGATGCAGCCACTTGCAGCGTCAGAGTCTCAAGCGGCCGGGCACTCGGATATAGGGACTTGCGGAAAGCGGCTTGTGAGCACTGGTAAGTGCGGTGCACGTCGCATTTCGTGCAGGTACCAAGGCACGATGGTCCAACTTTGACGCGCAGAATTTGTGCTGCTTGCTTAATTCTTGGACCTCCCAAGCACCCAAAAAAAACCTCGAAATCAACCGCTAAGTGTTCTTTAAGTGTCAAGTTTCGGGTACCTCGGAGATCCAACTTCTTTTTGCCAAAGTCGCTTTCGTGTTGCCCAAGACTCTTGTGGCGCCAAGCTGCTACATGGCGTGGCAACGTCTCGCTACTTCCGCCAAGACTCGCATGGCTCTGGCATCTTGCAATCAGTCGCAATGTTTCAGGGGCCATGTCCACGAAGGATTGCATCCAAGTTCCGTTGTTACTTCTCTGTTCCGCAACCATGGAGCGGTGCATCGTCCAAGGGCCGGTTATGCTAGGAGAACCCTAGTCATCCCAACCCGGATGAAACATCCCGTGGAGCGAGCTCGTATCTCGTGAAACCCAAGCCCAAGATTGCAACCCAGACAACTTCGTCCGACTCTCCCGGAGTCGGAGGCTCCATAGATCAGGTCTGATCTTGCAGCCCAAGCAACAGGAAAACCAAGACGCAAGCGGAGAAATGCCTTGATAAAGGCAATGCAGGACAACAAGGTTCGGGCCACCGGCAGACTAGTGGTGGAAGCTAAACTCCTTCCAAACCGGTTCTTTTTCCACGGCACCGCTCAGTCCCCGAAGCAAAGATAGGGCGCTGCAGTCCAAGTTGTGAAAGTGGGGGGGGTAGGGATGTCGACCCTGCTAAGAGCAGCTATCCAAGACCTGGAACATGACCACACCATGAGGGGCTGACTGCGCGGACAGAAGCACAGGAAAATAATTTGTTTAGACAACGGCATTCACGAAGTCTTGCATCAACATAGTTTGGCGGATGGTTTCGGTTTACGACAGGCCTTTTCGGGCCTTCCCGGGCTTTCTGAAGTCTGCTTGCAGCAAAGTCTTGAACCGAAGGTGCCTTCCACGTTCCAGATAATGCGACTCTGTTCCAGCACCTTGGGATACTGCTTATGACCCCTGCCCCTGACTGCGCAGCAAGAACGGCAAAGCCAGGACGCCTCTCGCTTGAAGGGAGAGGAGAAAGGCTTCCCAGAACGCCCGAGTCTGCAGACAAAGCAGGTTGGGTGTCTTGCGGGGGCTGCTATGAGTTTGAGGCAGCTGGTCAGTGAGGCATACAGCTGTCAATTTCTCTGTTCTGCTGAAGTGCATGAGGCCATGCTTCGGTGCAGAAAAACAATGGAGAAGCAAGCTATTCATTGCAGTCGCCATGTCCAAGTCCGAAAGTCGCACATCACATGCCGCAGTGTTCTGAAACAGAAATCTGCAGCCACTGCAGCCGATCTCGGAGCATTGACCCGTAAATACTTACGAAGCACGCGCCTGTGCAATCTCAGGGACCTGAGAACCGAACGCGCGACAGGCAAGCCGTGCGAAGTGCACACACGGCCAAGCAAGGATGTTCAGGCTTCCATGCAGCATGAGATTACTTGAGAGACTCTTGAAAGAAAAGACATGTGCAGAATTATGAGCATTGCTATTCCGACTGAGGCAGCTGGCGCCCACTGGTCGCGGCAGGAACGAGCTTTCCCCGCTACGCGATTCGTAAGTTGGAGCCACAAGACCGGAAGTCGAGGCGCAGAACAATGAATCTTACCTCTCGTCTCGGTCAATGCGGTTGCTCGGACTGTTCTGAAGCTTACTAGCTGCCTTTGCACTCTGCTTGATCACACCATCCTCGCTGGCTGCTTGGCACTGCTTGGCGTTGTAATCCGGGGTATTTCTGGGGCTACCTACACAATGAAGATCTTTCCCGAAACAGCAAGAGCATGCAGAGCTAGGCAATCAAGGCCATTCAATCGCCTTGCCTTTCACCCAGTCCCCACTAGCTGTTGCATGTATGCGTTATGCGCTTCCACTAAACGAGCCAGTCGACCCCGCTTCAAGAGAGATGAAATGCTCGGACAGGGCTACGACGCTTGGACCAGATAGCTTCTGCAAACCCTCGGACAACTTAAAGGCTTTTCATGCCCAGCTCTGCTGCACAGCAAACACGACCGCTTGACCCTCGAAGTTCGGGTTTCGCATATTGTCTGGTCTCTTGCTCCGAAGTACACTTAGTATACTTCGACCAGTACAGGAGAGTGGGAGGTCGCCTAGTTTGTAATCCTACTGGGAGCCGTCTGACTAGGTTGCCTTGTAGACCAAACGACGGGGCGTACGCCAGGCCACTTGAGCTCCAGCGGGAGCCTCGCACATGACTCTGAGATGCGCAGCTAGCAACCTGGACCTAGATATGCCTCCAGATGCGGGTCTTGACATGTGGACATGGACGATCTCACCTCCTCCCTTGCATGATTCCATCCCGGTCTTCTCTCTGACTCTTCCTCCGATGCACGCTATTTCTCATAGCCCTCATAGCTCTCCTGAATTACAGAAAGATGCTTCGGAGGCACCCCTACTTACCGTGCCGTCTGCTTAAGTCTAGCTCCACTGTTTGCGTGCGCTATGGAAATTTCAGCAACCGCGGGCTTTCCAATGATGTCAGATGAAGCTCATCTGCCCGTGGTGCCATGGGGGAGGAACTCTTCTGTCTGTTCAGCACAAGTTCGGGGGGCTGCAACAAACAAAGGAAAATGGAGCGGCTCTCTTCAAATAACCTTCCTTTTGAAGGAAACGGGTGTTGCTATGTCATCACGGCTACGCAGCTACCCTAAGAAATAGCGTGGCTTACCCTATTCTACAGCAGAGGAGCTCGCTGGATGCGTGAAACTCGGGAGATCATTGCTTCTTAACCTGGACACCATCGTCAGTTTATCCAACAGCCAACCACCAACAGCCACCAGCAGCCACCAACAGTCACCAACAGCCAACTGCCAGCAGCAACAAGAACAACAGCAACAGCAACACCGTCAGCAACAGCAACACCGTCAGCAACAGCAGCAGAGGGAGCGGCGTCACATGGTGTCACCATCCACATCGGCGTGACGATCACCAGCAACATCAATCTCAAGACAGCCACGCTTCATCGTCGTCAGCCTGAGAGAAGTTTCCAAAAACAGTTCCTTCCCCCCTCGACGACTCAGATCCGAGCCCTGGCTCCTGCGGATCTTCCACCGGCGGCGCACGCTGCATGTCCCGCACCTGCTCTGGTCTTCTCCGTGTCCCATGTGTCCCCGAGGCCCTAGGCGTACTCTAGATGGTACTCGAATCAAAGCCTTGCGTCGAAGGCTCGGATGCAAAGATATGCACAGTGCTGAGAGCCTTTTTTGCGCGCTCACTTCGCACGCTTCGCTGGCCAGATCCTTAAATCCTCCTCAGGCAGCATTCGGAGTAGGCAGCCGAGAGACGATCTTCAAAGGATCCGCTGGTTGGTTGAAGCTGGAAAATTTGCCCTTCGTCGGGATCAGACTCAACACACCAGACAAGGAGGGCAGCAATGACTGGAAGAACGACATGTAGTTGCCGGCTGGAGGCCGCTGATGGCCGCGAGGGAGATTGGGCCGCTAGAGCAAACCGACTGGCAATACAACTCAAGCCCGAAGCATGTAGCATAAAGAAGGAAAGAGTGTAAGAAAACCAGACAGAACCAACCATCACGAACGCAACCACCAGCAAGTCTTTGAAACTAACCGTAGATCGGAGTGGCCTACGATCGTCTCACGGCCGGGGAGTCCCAGGGACTGACTTCAAAGGCTACATCTGGCGTTGGCCAGCCTCGCAATGTTGTGCAGAAAACCAGGTGGAGAAGCACACCTGCTCCTAGAATAGACTCTCTTTACGAAGACGACAGTTCAAGCTCGTTCATCGAATCTTCGGTGCTTCTGCTCCTGGACAGGGACTCCTGCATCTGACGACAGATCCAAATCTGTAAATGACTGTGACGAGCGATGCGGGAGTCCACAAGATGCGACAACTGCCCGGTGCGCCGGCCAGGTGCATTCAGCAACTGCCCTTCTACGGGAATCAAGTCGGAGACTCTTAGGAATGCTGGGAGAGTGCATCAGGCTTCACGCACCTGGGTGTGCCATCCACAAGATGGATGGCACGAGTTCACGACGAGTAGGCTGGCTCTCTGTGGCCAGGCCCTGCGCATGTGTTGCAAGTGCCTGAGTGCGCGATGGATCGCGATGGTGCACATCACGATCAGAGCTACGCCAAGAAACTGAAGTGGCCTCAACGGTCCGACACGCTTCAAGCCCTTCCCAATCCCGCCAAGAAAGAGCGCAGAGAAGCACCAGCAAGAGTCGTCAGACTTTGCACAGATGACTATTCATCCACTCGCACTTCAAGCAAGCATGCAAAGCTTCCTGGAGCTGGTGCTGGAAAGACCTGCGTAAATCAGTCTCTGCCTAAAAGTTGCTTCCTGACGTAGCAAGGTACAAAGCTCCTGGATGCCAGCCTGCCATTCTGAGAGTCTCACAGAGTGGAGCGGTACTACGACAAAAGCCTCGCAGCCACAATCCTTCCAGACCGTGGCAGTCTGCCAGGCACCACACGGGAGCATTGCCATGCGGGTGCCCTAACCTAGTCCAGTCCTGTCAGGAGCGGCCAAGCATGAAGGAATCCAGAAAGAAAAGATAAGAAAAGTCTCCAAGGTTGGCCAATGGATCGGATCTTATTTGGGCTTCCTTCATGCCGGTGTCTACCGGTCCAAGGACTCATTCTAGCTCCTGGTTGAGAAGAAAAAAACGACCTACACGAAAGTCAACCCTGAAGTTTTCATTGACCCCAGGCCTCGCGCATTGCAGCTTCCACACGTTACATGACGATTTTGCAAAGTATGTTTTGCAGGCCCCGAAGCCTGACATGTCGCTTGCTTCTCACTCAAAGCGCTCAGTGATGTCGCCGCACTGGCGATGTTCACCTGAGTGAGCCCAGGGGGCAACTCAACAGCTCAAGCCGACGCTGTCGAGTCGCGGATCAAGCCGACAGAGAGCAAAGATGATGCGGCCCGGGTCATCCCAAAAAGAAAACCATCTCCGAGGCCTCTGCAGCGCAATGGCCTAGCCGAAACTCACCTGGACCTCAGATATCAGTTGCAGGAAGCTGTGGGCACTGCGCAGGGGGTGCGCCTGGCAGTTGTGTGAAACCTAAACATCAGTGCATCGTCCCCAGGCATCGGTATCCCACCGCACCTACAAACTGCCTGTCTCACATGAAGGGATCGCGATACCAAAGCTCCTCCAGTTCTATTTCGTCACGTGATGCAGCAAAATGACCACACTAGCCGCCAATCAAAGAAACACCTGCCCAACTCGTTTTCATGCAAGAGAGGCGCAGCGGAGGAGGCCACATGCCCGGCAACTGCATCATGGGTGGCGGCATGGACCCCATAGGGCCCATGGGCTGCATGGGATAGCCACCCGGAACCTGGCATTACTGTACGAGTACGAGGCTGCGGGACGTTCGAGGTTCCCGCTCAAGTAAGCCCTAGCCCTTTTCCATCCCTTTTCCCAAATCAGAGCAGCAGGACCAGGCCGACTGACATCGGGCTTGCAGCCTGCCCAAAAAGCGACTGGTACAGGCTCGTTTGGGTGTGCGCGGACCTGACACACATGCAACACCTCATCACCTGCATCTTCGAAATTACACTCCCTGGAAATTTGGCAACTACCAGTAGATTTCTGCCGAGATTAGCATCCAAACAGACACTCGGCAAACCGTCCACCGACCCGAAAGCCGAGCCTGGACGAGCTCTTGCTCTTTTCGTAGTCTGGGCCAGCGGATAGATCGACGGCTCATGGAACTTCGGAGCACTTGCACTCTGAGCTCGCAGCATTGCCCTTTGTCTGGCGCGGCCTTCGAGGCTCAGCCAATGCGGACTTTGGTTGGGAGCTCCATACGACCAGAAGCCGCTGCTTGAGCTGGGCGGCGCTTCTTCTCGCCAGAATCACAGAGATGGCAGAACTCACATTCGACGCCGTTTGCCTGGCACAGCAACCGCTGCGGAAAACAGCAATCAAAAAACCTGCTGAAGTGCGGCAAGCCCAGCAGCTTGAGAATCTACTGTGATACCGTGATACTACTTGAGGTCGATCCGTAATCAAGAGAGGATGGCGCAGCCCTTCGTGTGGAAGAATGCGCAGGGCCTGTGCCAAGGCTGCAAGAACCAGTCTCTAGAACCATCAAGATTGCTCTAGGGCTGCCCAGATCCTTCAAGTGACACAGCAGTAGGAGTGAGGAGGTAGTGAGAGTGAGGAGCACAGGAGTGAGGAGTGAGCGGGAGTGGGGAGAGGGGAGTGAGGCGGGACTGAGGAGTGAGCAGGAGTGAGGGGTGGGGAGTGAGCAGTGAGCGAGTGTGAGGAGTGGGGGGACAGCGGGAGTGTGGAGTGGGGAGAGGGGAGCGAGGAGTGAGTGAGGAAGCGGTGTGACAAAGGTTGTTCTGCAACCAACTGATGAGATCCTTGGTTGCAGTATGCCACAAGCAACTCACAGCATAGTCTTCATTTGCTTACTGCAGCCGTGCCTGCATTTTCCTAACCGATGATCACGCGAGCCTTGCGTAGGCCTCAGCAACCAAGCAGTGCCGGTACGGTGGATTCGTCCTCCTTTTTTTGCAAAGTCACATCCTTCCACCACGACTGCAACCCTCAGGCCACTACACCTCAGGTGATCCCACTGCTGGCTCTTGTTCTTGAAGAGCCTTTTCACAATTCACGACGCCAGGACCATCCAAAATCTACCTTCCCCCTTCCCCCCTGAGCGACCAATGCAACTGCTTGTTGACACGAGTTCCGAGTCCGGGCCTGCGCCAGTTTGACCGGAACAGGCAGGTCTGCTGCATCCTGACGCTACATGTAGGCATCGACCAGTATGTGCCCGTGGTCTGCTTTGCTTCGTAGGAAAGCCCTGCGCTTTCTGGAGCCGACAGCATCTCAGCGCAAACGAGGAAACACCCCGACACAAGCGCACTCCTTGTCGCGGCTCCCAGTTGGCAAGGGCGGGAGGCTCTCCGGAATAACAAATTGTGGAGCCCTGCCAGGTGAGGCGATGTGGCGACGCGCAAAGGCGGCTGAAAGCGATGCTCCGGTGCCGCTCCGCCGCTCAGCAAGCTCCCCCTCCGTGCCTCTCTGCTGGCGGAGGCGGGGGCATCTCCTTGAGAGAGGGAGCCTCGAGAGACGAAACACTGCGGACAGACCTACTAGTATGGGCCTACATGGACCTACTCGTCTCGGACACCCGTTTGAGAGAGAGCTGAACCATGGCAGAGCCCTCTTGCCCTCTGCGAGAGATCCCCTCTGCTGAATCGGCCAACCTGCCCGCTGATGTCGACCTGAGAAGGTCGCGATAGATTTCACAGTCTTTTCACATTCGCGCTGTTTTTGGAGAAGTGGGGACCAGCCAAGCTTGTCTGCAAACTTCGAAGCCCTGCGACTCTGGACTAGAAGCCTAGAACGCGCTGCCAGCGCGATCTTGCCCAGGGGCTCTGCGAAGTCCAAGGGAAAAGCGCTGGTCATGAGCTTCATGACGCCAAGTACCCGGCCACGCCAAGGCCAATTGAGATGAACTCCTCCAAGCCATCGCCGCTCATTGTCCTGATCGGATCCGGTGCCGAAGGGACGTGGCACGTCGTGGCACGTCTTTGCTTTCCAGAGCTTCGTCCAACTCGGCCTCGGCCACTGGGTGACTGCGATGGTCGAGCCAGGCTGGGACGAAGCAGTCGTGGCCTGCTGGCGAGAGCAGGCTTGACCCCTCGGATAAGTCTTGCACTAACGCCTTGGGCGAGGTGTCCATGTTCTCCTTCCTGGGCACGAAGTCATCCTGCAAAATGGGGGGAACAAGGTGCACCTCTAGGACTCTAGGTGATTGAAGACATGCGCCTCGTCCGTGACCTGACTGCCAGTGATCCCGGAGTCCAATCCTTGCTGCCACCACAGTGCTGAGGCAGTGCTGGGAGGTCCTGAGAGCCTGGCCAGGTGGAATTCCAAAAGCACTGCCTGGCGCAGAGCCTGCAGGCCACGAGCTGCCCATCTCTATGTCGGGCTCCGGTCCGACGTTCCGAGGACTCGGCGCAGGCCGCGCTCCTGGTAAAACTCATCTATGGATGGTGGCCTGAGCTGTGCAGGGTCAAGGCTTATACGACAGCTGCCCCGTCTTGCGCCCTCGTGCCTTCCAATCTCCACAGTCAAGAAGGTGTTGCGGACCTGTTGCTTCTTTTCTGTGGACCTTCCCTAGTCCTCGTTTTTAGTCATGCCTTGCCCTGCCGTCGTGTGATCTCTAAGCTTGCAGCGCTCACCGGCGAGGGGTACTCGTAGTCCGGCAAACCGGCGTAAACCTGGACATCGATTTTTGCTTGCCGACGAATGCAGGAAGATATCCTGCTGGCGATCGGCTTACAGTCAAAGAACGACGAGTGAGAGCACTTTCATGTAGCCCTGAACCGATTGGACCCGACTTCATTGACACAAAGCCGTGGCCTTCATGGGTGAGGCCGCTGTCGAAACCGTGGCCTCAATGCACGTGTAGTCTGAAATCTTCGGAAGATCGCCCAGTCACAGAAGAGTCTCTCTCGAGAATCACTGGATCGCAACTCTAGAGCAATCACAAAAAGACACAATGTGCCTCAGAGCTGTTGACACATCTGACGGCTCTGAGGTCCAGACTGGAGAGTTGCCTGTCATATCACGGAATGTCGAAGGCCGAAGCGAAGGGGCGGGAAGGGGAGGTCTGGAGGGCGCGCCTGGTGTCAACAGCTTTGATGGCGACGCCTGAAGGCTAAGGATCCATCTGCTCAGAGCTGCCTCCCCCATTGTCAGAAGACCACAGAACCCAAGCCCGAGCCTCATCTGTTGGCTTCGACTTCGAAGGCCTCCGGCCAATCGAGACAGATCCAAGGCTCCAAGCCGCTCACAAGCAATGCAACGAATGCAACGAATGCAATGTGCAGCTGGGCTGCGTTTCCATGGCGATCAGCACGCCTGGGCACGAAAGAAGGACAAGTCCGCATTGAAAGCTCGGCAGCTCCAGGCAAAACATTGACACAAGATCCCTGACAAAGGCCCGTGCGCAAGCCTCAGGTCGCATGCATCGACCCACAGGATTTGAGCCCGGAGGCTACAGTACGTGCCAAGACAATTCTTGAAAGGCTCAACTGCACAGCACGAGCACGACGTCCAGCTGTGCGTATCACTGGACATTACGGCAATTGCTCGAAAGCTTGAGACGCACCGCTTCAGCGGCCACTCCAAGTCTTGCAACGCAAGACTCGGCCACCCAGAAACACAAACCCTCGCAGTGCACAACGTCGACAAGCTGCGACGACTTGCAGGGTCTCTGGAGTGCCAGGCCTCCCCATCCCCGTCCAAGCGTCCATGCGCTGATGGCTGGGGCGGTATAGGGTCCGGCCTGAAAGTGCAGAGCAGCGCAAAATTATGCAAAGCAGAGGTGAGCTGACTAGTGCGAAGGGTTTTGGCAGCACTGGCAATGCACTTTGCGCTCCAAATGCTGCAAACCGAGAGCATCCGGGAGCCGCACGGCAGCTGCAGCTGCAGCATCTGGGGAGCACAGCGCCAGAAAGGCAGGGCAAAGTTGTCAGAATCCGCCCGCTTCTATTCCCTCTGCACCATCAGGCCCTGCGGAGACAAATGCCTTGAAGGCGGAGCTGTCGAACGTAGGCGCCGGCCACCTCTCTGCTGTTCTGAAGAAGCAAGAGAGAATCCATGCAAAGAACGCTCGGCCGCTCTGATGAATTCACTATTGGATTTTCATGAGTTTAAGCTCAGCTGTCTCTCGGGTCCCCCGCTGCGGCATCCGCCGCAAAGTGGCACTTCGCGCTTTGGGCTCGCCGGGCCGTCTCGGCTCTTCACCTCTGCTAAACAAAGCGGCCGCACGAAGGAGAGGAAAACTTGGCAGAAGTGATCAATGGCTTGCAGAACAACTGCTGGGGTAGCTGCGAAAACGAAGATTGCTGCCGTGCTTCTTACTGAGCCCCAAATAAGTCCGGCAAGCGACGTGCCAAAGAGCTTCTGGTCGCGAGGTCGTAGACGTGGCGCCGGGGCTTGAGGTGCGTGGGCTGGCCGCGAGAGCGAGCGAGAGACGCTCCAGGTAGACAAGCAAAGAGAGAGAGAGAGGGAGAGAGAAAGAGATGAAGAGAGCGAGCGAGAAACACGGACAGAGACCAAGACACAGACAAGCAGTGCGAGAGACAGAAAGAGACAGAGTGAGAGAGAGAGAGAGACACACACACACACGCAGAGAGACAGCGGCAAATGCACAACAGGTGCTTTTATGGTTCCGTGTCGCGTGTCGGTACCCCCTCCCCCCGCCGCCCCCCCCCATGGTATCCCCCCCTCCATGGTATACACCCGAAATCCTCGTGAGGGTCGTCACTCTTGTACAGGGAGGAGCCCCCCGAACCCGGGATCCTCGTGAGTGTTGTGACTTTTGAAGCTATGCCAGCTATGCAACTTCGTGGCGTGTCCAAAGTGGTGACCCTCACCTGGATGGGCCATGGTTTCGGTCTGCGCCGCGCTCAGCTGCTGACCCTCAACCCTAAAACCCGTTCATATCTGTACACCAAAACAACCTCACCACCCACACCACACCGGGGGTGCGTCTACCTGAAACCTACAACCCACCGCCCCACCACACCACACCACACCACACATCACCACACCACACCACACCACACCACACCACGCCATACCACACTACACCACACCACCCCACCCCACCCCACGCCACGC